ATGAAAAGAATAGTCATTATTGTTGTCATTATTATAATCATTATCATCATCATCATTATCAATGTCAATATCACTATCAATATCATCATCATTATCATTATTATCACTGTTACTGTAAATTATAATTATTGGCATTATCTTTGTTAGTATTAATTCTATTATCATTATGATTATTACTATTATTATCATCATCACCGTTATTATTCCCCTATGAACTATACTCCACCTCAAGAAACCGTAATCCACTTTAGACCTATTAAGGGCATTAACAAACACTTTCTCTCAGCTACCCATTTATTACCAGAAATTCAATTTACAATACTGAGTGCTTTTTTAACTGACCAATATGAATTTTACAATTTAATCTACGCAAATTGCATTTGCCTGATATTCGGCTTCCTTCTAGTTGAAGAAAATACCCCAATATCCTTTATTGTGGAATCCCCAGTTACGAACCATATCCAGAGCCAGATGGATGCGATTTGCTGACAATTTTGCATTACTGCTGGAATGCCAGAATGCACAATCATCATTCCACAGTGAGATGGGGAAATGCAATTCATCATACACAGAACAAAGTTGTTGACAAGATACTTCCTTGGGGGACCCCGTTTGCCTGGCCACAAATGCTCGAAAAAATTACACTGTCAGAGAATAATATGAATATAGCAAAGCAAGTTTCCATGTAATCCGAAAACATAGTTTTCTGAATAGGCCATATGATCATGTTATGTCGTAGGCTTTTTATATGCCCAAAAATACGGAAATCCAAAAATAAATTTTGATATATCCATCATGAATATGACTGTCCAGTTTTACTATTTGATCGAGAGTTTGGCGTCTCTTCCGGAAGCTGCACTGCTCGTCATATGGTAAATTTCTGGAATTTAGAAAATGTAATATCCTGCTGTTGACAATTTGTTCCATGACCTTGCCAAAGCAATTTGACAACGATATTGGGCGGAAGGCGATGGCGAATCTAAAAACGACGTGGGCGACATGTCATGGGTTTTGAAAAGTCTGTCTTTTCCAAATTTCATTGTACACATCTAGCTATATGAACACGACGTCATGATCAAGATGCTTTATCATCTCATACTGAATCTCATTGGGGTCTGGGGATGTTCCGCTACAGGGTTTTAGGACTCGGGCAATTTCATCCATTGTTAGATCTTGATTGTAATTTAAGTCACCCCATGTGGCAAAGTGTTTAGGCTACAGTTCAGCCGCTTCTTTGATGGTCAGGAATACGAGATGGTAATTTTCTGACCTGCTTGTGTATGAGAACTGTCTGGCGAATCCATTAACAATTTCTAGGTGAATCATAGTTATTTTCCTCATGGGTGATGTTCTTAATTTTAGAAGATTTAATTTTAATTATTTTATTGACAGTGGACCAAACCTGTGTTACTGTGGTGTTACTGTTAATTGTGGAAACAAAGCCCCTCTTTTTGCTTGTCTGGTTGAACCATGCGTCCGAGATCTCGAAAGTTTGTAATTACGAAGGTTCATGTTATTGGTGTTATTTTTGAAAAGCCTGTAAGCCTCATTCCATTCACACAGCACCTATGATTGAGTCCATCATGGAACTTTATGTATAAATATATACATACATATATATATATATATATATATATATATATATATATATATACATATATATATATATATATGTGTGTGTGTGTGTGTGTGTGTGTGTGTGTGTGTGTGTGTGTGTGTGTGTGTGTGTGTGTGTATATATATATATATATATATACACACACACACACACACACACACACACACACACACACACACACACACACATATATATATATATATATATATATATATATATATATATGTATATATATATCTTTATATCTATATCTATATCTATGTATATATATATATATATATATATATATATATATATATATATATATATATATATATGTATATATATACATATATATGTATATACACACATATATATATATATATATATATATATATATATATATATATATATATATATATACATATGTATATATGTATATATATATAATATATATATATATATATATATATATATATATATATATATATATATACATATGTATATACATATATACATATACATATAAAATACTATTTTGAATGTCATTTATTTAATCAACAATGATTTCAACCAACAACTTTGAATTTAACGCTCCTTGTGACGGCGACCCAGTCTGCTCTTTTTACCTTAAAAATAGGTGCTGGAGGCTTTTTCGTTTTTATTACAAATAGCAAAACGATCGCTTCCCAACGGGTCCACAATGTCAAACCTTCATCTTTCTTCTTGATTTCACGGTAACTATCATCATATCTTGTTATGCATGCAAATGTTTCAGTCTTCAGAAGTCAGGTAGTATCTTTGAAAGTATTCTCAGTCATACAATGGAATCATGAGCTCTAACACAACACAAGTTAATTTATCATTATGCTTATCATTACTTCGTAATGAGGTGTGTCCATA